AAAAAAAAAAAAAAAAAAGTAGCCTAGAAAACCAAATCACACGAAATTGGTGGGAATTGATTTTCCTCAAAACCATGTAATTGGAATCGTGTATGGCAAAAAATGGAAAGTGAATTGTCAAGAAAATTTTCTCAATCAAATATGACTTTTGTGGAAGATGAAATTTTATTTCCAAATTCCATGGAAAAATTTCCAAATCAAACAGGGATAACAGAAATGGATAAATTTCACTTTTTTTTCTCTTAAATAATTTTAAAATTAATTTATTGGCAAATATTCAAGGTTCCACCTGGGCTAAATTGAAAGTATAAATCTCTTCTCTTCACTTCTCCTGTCCTCCCCATGAAAAAATTGCCAAATCAAACAGGGCTTAGAGAAATGGATAAATTTCACCTTTTTTATATTTTTTAAATTTTTTTCACAAATAATTTTAAAATTAATTTAGTAGCAAATATTCGATGTTGGACCTGGGCTCAATTGAAAGTATAAAACTTATCTTCTCTTCTCCAGTCCTCTCCTCTTTCGACCTCTACTCTCGCCAAATCAGCTGCCGGTCTCACTTAGAACCCTCGAATTACTAAGGTCAGTTCAATTTTGATTGCACACGACTTAGAGAAATTAGCAAATACATATTTGGAAGAGTTAGGGTTTATGCTTTTACATAACATTTTTGCGTCCCTGNATGCTTTTACATAACATTTTTGCGTCCCTGAATTTATATAATGTTAATTCGTAGATGTTTGTTTCAAAAGGTTTGTCTTTTTTAAGTGTAATTGGGTTGTTTATGTATCGTGAGGGTTTTATGATTGCACTCATTTTTTCCATTTATGCAAAACAAAATATTGTGATTTAAGCTTCGTTTGAATTCCAAATGATGTTTTGTTTTGAATTTTTAGTCTTTTGACTGTTTTTTTTTTGGTTATCTTGGTTTGTAAATGGTGTAATATCTAAGGATTGCAAATTATCTCACTGTTGCAGCTGAAGTTTAATGTTGTGAAAACAAGAAAAAGCTAAAGAATATTATCTAAAATAATTTGAACGTGATACAAGAAATATAGTCCTCTTCTTATATAAGCATTGGAAGGAGAGGTAATATCCTAATTCTAGTAGACTAAGTAATACAAATGAGTCTCCTCAAAATATAAGAAACTCTCAATAGAATAAGAAAACTGATATCCTACCCTATCAACTAAATAACACAACTAATGAAATACTAGGAATCCTAGTTACGACTTACGAATAATATTTAAATCCTAAAACAACTAGTAATAATTGATTTCTAGTAGAATTGTACACACCTACACCTCCATATATGTGTATTATTTCCTGTTTGTGCAGTTTTTTGTTTAACTAGGTTTCACACAAACTGAAGAAGGTGTTAGTTTATCATGTCTCTTTCCCTTGGGGCATTGGGACTTTGAGGGCTGGGGAACATGAACGGATTCGAGAACGTATTTGCTGATGCATGATAGAAATGAAAGAGTCTTAGCTTATTAGTGTAATCTGAAGATGTATTCGTGGATATTGGTAACGGACTGAAATGCCTTCTAGTACTGACTATAAAGATCTTTTTGTCCAGGATGTAAATCTTGAGTAAACCGGTGGATATCGAGTTTTGCATTCAACTAGTCTATGAATTTTAGGATCTTTTACTTTATATGCCTTCCCCTCTGTTTATGGTTGGTAAGTGTTCGGGCAAGTTCAAGCAAATGGGGTTTCAGTTGCAATGCAGAATGTTGATGCTGCCAATTAGAATACTGCAGGGTAGTGTATGCAAGTGTTACATTTTTTTTTTTTTTACCTCGTTATGTCGCTCTTAGTGTTGTAAGTAACAAAATTTTGGAAGTGTCATTTAAATAAATTAGGATTAAATTATTTTGAACTTCTAGTTGGTCTAGTGATGAACTAAAGGGAGTGGAGAAAAATGATTCAGTTGCCAACCCCAAATATTTAGTGTTAATTTTTTTTATGGATACCTTGTCTTATTATGCAAGTGTTACTTTTTGTTTTGTACCTTGTTATGTCACTCTTACTGGTGTCAGTAAAACGTAACTTTGAATGTGTCTTTGAAATAAATTAGAATTTCATTAAGGGTACTTTTGATTGCAAGCACGAAATTTGTATGTAATGAAAAGAAATTCTAAGCAATTCAATTGTCTAGAACTTATTTGTATGGAAATTTTTAATTAATGTGTTTGATTGATTTTAGCTTTCAATTTAAAAAATATTATACTTATCCATTTTTTATTAGTGGGTAGATGAGAGATGATGGATAAATAAGAGAGAGAAAGAGAGTGAATTCCTTGGAAAATAAAATCCTACTCTCCCTATATCGTTGATGTTCCAGTCCTATGAGGTTAATGTATTCCCTGAAGTGAATTGTTAGGTCATTTACAACTTGTGATACAATCTTGTTCTAGAACTTGTGTGTGTGGTGTGCATAAATGTGCTAGTGCATGGTCTTTGTCGTGGTGTCTTATGGCCCCTATTCCCTTTTTTTTTTTTTTTTGTGCAGATGTGATTGAAGAATTGATTAGCAGGGGACAGCAGGTTGATGCTATACATTTTACTTATGAAGTTGGCCTGGCAGACAAGTTTCCCCCTGTCCCTGTCCCTTTGCTTAAAGCTTAATGCTTTCAAAAAGATCAATATTATCAAATTAAGTTGCTACTCTTCGGTTCTAGTGCATGATACATACTCCCACAGTGACTAGCTCCTCCAACAAATATAAACTCCACGCATAGTACTTTATGTGCATCTATACAAGCTGTCAACTTCCCAACATAGTGTTTTCCTTTGATATCTTTACTAATTCCTCTTTATTCCAACTATCTATCCTCGAGATACCGATGAATTATCTCACTTCCTCTTCCACATTCCGCTGAATGTTTAACATTAGTGCAAATCTTACAAGCATTGACCTCTCCAGCGATAAATTTCAAGAAGATCGATCCCCAAAAATCTAAGATCAAGTAAGAATGAGTTCAAAAGACATCTTTAATAGAACTACTCAATATCCTACTCGTCATGAGTGACAACTTGAAGCAGCCTGATTTTGTTTCGGGGGTTTTGGGTTTGATTTTATTTCTTATTTTTTATTTAATTATATAATGTGATAAATGAAAAGTTGCTCTTTTGCCCATTTTTAAAATATTAAAAATGTGATCGAAATTAAATTTTTGGTCAACTAAAAGAATTATGGATGAAACTATCCAAAAGGGCTTCACCTGCAACATTTGAAAAAGCTAAGGGTGACGGCTGCAACAAATCAAATGTTAGGAATTTTGCTAATGTTTTTCTGATGTTGTGTGAAGTTATCAGCCACAAGGAGATGTCATCAGATGCTTTTCAGATGTACCTTATTCCTCTCACATTGAAGGAAGGTGCAAAAGCATGGCTATACGCACTACTTGCCGGGAATATTGTATCATGGAATGACATGGTGTAAAGATTTACCATGAAATTCTTGCCATCGTCTCGAGTCCACTAAATCTGAAATGAAGTCTATACTTTCAAATAGAGAGATCTTGAGACATATCCGGAGCAAAGATTGCGAAGGCAGCCAACAACAGAGCAAGTTCAGGCCATTCAATTCATTGGACGATATATCTAGTCTATGTAAATTACGCAAAGAGCTTGGAATCCCACCGTGCAACTTATTTTTATTCAAATCAAGCCTTGCAAGAAAAAACAATTCCCTAAAGGAATCAGGAATAGGTACCTCTGATTGATTACTGGAGAAGTCAATGCTTGTAAGACTTGCACTAATGTTAAACATTCAACGGAATGTGGAAGAGGAAGTGAGATAATTCAACGGTAGCTCGAGGATACATAGTTGGGATAAAGAAGAATTAGTAAAGATATCAAAGGAAAGCATTGGGTTGGGAAGTTGACAGCTTGTAATGAACGGTAAGTACTATGCGTAGAGTTTATATTTGTTAGAGGAGCCGGTTACTGTGGGAGTATGTCTCACGCACATTGAATGCTTTTTGAAAAATAGGGTTTATGCTTTTACATAACTTTTTTGCGTCCTTGGATTTATATAATAATAATTCGTAGATGTTAGTTTCAAAAGGTTTGTCCTTTTTAAGTGTAATTGGGTTGTTTATGTATCGTGTGGGTTTTCTGATTGCACTCATTTTTTTCCGTTTGTGCAAAACAAAATATTGTGATTTAAGCTTCGTTTGAATTCCAAATGATGTTTTGTGTTGAATTTTTAGTCTCTCGACTGTTTTTTGGTTATCTTGGTTTGTAAATGGTGTAATATCTAAGGATTGCAAATTATTGCACTGTTGCAGCTGAAGTTTAATCTTGTGAAAACAAGAAAAAGCTATAGAATATTATCTAAAATAATTTGAACGGAATACAGCAAGTATAGTCCTCTTCTTATATAAGCATTGGAAGGAGAGGTAATATCCTAATTCTAGTAGACTAAGTAATACAAATGAGTCTCCTCAAAATATGAGAAACTCTCAATAGAATAAGAAAACTGATATCCTACCCTCTTAACTAAATAATATAAGTAATGAAATACTAGGAATCCTAGTTACGGCTTACGAATAATAATTAAATCCTAAAACTACTAGTAATAATTGATTTCTAGTAGAATTGCACACTCCTACACCTTCATATATGTGTATTATTTCCTGTTTGTGAAGTTTTTTGTATAACTAGGTTTCACACAAACTGAAGAAGGTGTTAGCTTATCATGTCTCTTTCCCTCAGGGCATTGGGACTTTTGAGGGCGAGGGAACATGAATGGAATCCAGAATGTAACTGATGCATGATAGAAATGAAAAAGTCTTAGCTTATTAGTGTAATCTGAAGATGTATTCGTGGATATTGTTAACGGACTGAAATGCCTTCTAGTACTGACTCTAAAGATCTTTTTGTCCGGGATATAAATCTTGAGTAAACCTGTGGATATCGAGTTTTGCATTCAACTAGTCTCTGAATTTTAGGGTCTTTTACTTTATATGCCTTCCCCTCTGCTTATCGTTGGTAAGTGTTCGGGCAAGTTCAAGCAATGAGGTCTCAGTTGCAGTGCACAATGTTGATGTTGCCAATTAGAATACTGCAGGGTAGTGTAATGACGTAGTGTATGCAAGCGTTACTTGTTTACCTCGTTATGTCACTCTTTAGTGTTGTAAGTAACAAAATTTTGGAAGTGTCATTTAAAAAAATGAGGATTAAATTATTTTGAACTTCTAGTTGGTCTAGCGATGAACTAAAGGGAGTGGAGAAAAATGATTTTGCCAACCCCAAATATTTAGTGTTAATTTTTTTTATGTATACCTTGTTCTTTTATGCAAGTGTTACTTTTTGTTTTGTACCTTGTTATGTCATTCTCACTGGTGTTAGTAAAACGTAACTTTGAAAGTGCCTTTGAAATAAATTAGGATTTCATTAAGGGTGCGTTAATAAATTCTCAACAATTCAATTGTTTAGAATTTATTTGTATGAAAATTATTAATTAAATGTATTTGATTGATTTAACTTTCAATTTAAAAAATATTATACTTGTCCATTTTTTATGGGTGGATAGATGAGAAAGAATTGATAGATGAGAGAGAGAGAGAGTTCCCTGGAAAATAAAATCATATTCCCTCTAAAAAAAAATATTTTCCTTGATTTGGAGGAAAATATGGTCACGTGGCCAAGTATGAAAATATTTTCCATAAAAAAAATGTCAATCAAACAACACAAAAGTAAGAATTTGTATGGAAAAACACATATTTCATGAAAAATATTGGTAATCAAACGCACTCAATATTAGGGTCCGTTTGATAGGCAAATGTGGGAAGAATTCAAATTTCATATTAGTTGGAAAATAAAAATCCACTAAACTCATAGGAATTTGTTTTCCATGAAAATAAATAAAATAGTTTAAAGTGGTTGTACATTGGAATTCAATTTTTATTTTTACATTGCAATCAAACGATCAAAGCGGAATTCGTTTTCGTCGAATATGACATTTTCTACTAAATTCGTTGCAATCAAACGGGGTCTTAGAGTAGGTTTGATTACTAACATAAATTTTATATAAAAATTAAATTAATTCTAGACAATTTATGAAAATGATTAATTAATTGTTTTTGATTAATTTAATTTTCAGTGTAGAGAATATTATACTTGTCTAAAAGAGGTAATAGATGAGAGAAAGAAAGATATGGTGAATTATCTGGAAAATAAAAATCACAATTCTCTAAAGAAAATGTTTTCTTTATTTTTGAGGAAAATATTGTCACATAATCAAAAGTTAAAAAATATTTTTCATGGAAAAATGGTTAATCAAACACTCTAAAAATAAGAATTTGGGTGGAAAATGACATTTTTCATGAAAAATAAAATAAATCAAACACTCTATTGTAATGTTTGATTGCAATTTTTTTCATTGAAAAAAGATATTTTCCAATTTTTGAAAATAAGCATAATTTTTTTTTTAAAGGAAAATATTTTCTTTTTTATGAGATATTTTTCATGCCAATCAAACACGTGTTGCTATTGTTGATAAATATATTGTCATTAAGAACATTTTTAGGCTTGATGAACTTGTTTAGAAAGTATGCCATATGAAAAACCTTGTAAGTGAAAAATTTCAAATTAGAGAATTTTCGTATCAAGATTACCATTAGTATCGCCATTAATATTAATATTTACATTGTTGCCATCGTAGATATAGATATTATCAAAAGAGAGACGTTTTTAGGCTTGATGAAATTTTTATGTTTATCCAATCTTTTTGGCGTTAGTAAAAGTTTTAAATTTGATAAAAAGTACTATATTTATCCATGTTTATTCTAACATTAACCTTATTAAATTCATTCATTTAAAAACTATATATTCACTTTACTTTTATATATTTATCCAAGGACTGGACCGGGCTGTAGCCTAGCCCAATCCCTCCCTAAATCCGTCTCTGCATGTGTCGCCATCATTATTACTCATCTGCTTTCCACAGAGGGTTACTATAACACACCTCCAAAATAATCACTTCTAAAAGGATAAGTGTCACTTGTGTCAGCAATACATTTCCATCTGCCAATCAAAGGAGAGTTATGATTGCCTAGGCTGCATACAATCACAACGTAGGCGACACCAACGTCATGAACATGATAATGGCCTCGCTTATCGAACTTAGCGACCAATCAAAACTCTCCAATTAGAAAGGTGGCTCACATATGGAGGTCGATGATGTAGCTGGGTGTGATAAGGGGAGACAAACACTTGGTTAACGACTTATAAATAAGGGCAAAACTCACTCTTTATAATATACTCCCGAAGCCATATCTGATAAGATTTACTTTTCATATACATTATTCTAGCAATTACTTGTTAAATTCATCTTAAGTTGATTTTAATTTATCAATTCATTTTTAGTCATCAACATATTATATATGTATGTTACACGATCAATGTGTTACAACATGAATGCATAGCGTTCCTCTTTATCAATAATGTTAAAAAAATTTGGACATTTATAAATGATTTGCCGGTTTTCAGTGGACTGGTTCACCAGTTTTGATATCAAAACCAAATTGGTCATCCGATTGAGACCTCATTCGACTGTTGATTGGACCGATCGATCCGATCTAACTTTTACAATTATTTGTGTAATGATTACTGTTGCCAAATACTACCCAATAGCTCTTTGTTGAAAGGTCTGAAATCCATACCGAGACTGTAGGTCAATATTTTCATTTTCCCATCTCCTAGAATTGTTTCGACCATCATTCATATTGCGGTGTCAAGCGAAGCGTGATGTCCAAAATCTATTTTGAGGTGGAATCAAGAAACCCAAAAAAGAGCCGGTTTGCAAATAAAACACATGAGAAATTGTTATATAAGAAGTTTTAAGAGTTTGGATTATTGAATATGCATGGTAAAAAAATAAAAATGCAGTTATGGCTGCTAATGAATAACCATAGTTTGAAATTGATAGAGTTGATCTAGAGCTTATTTGGGAAGGATTAAAATCCAATTAAAATTGAAAATATAATCGTTATTGGGTCCCACTCTTCTAATAAAAGTCAACTCCAACATCTATATTTTCAATTTTAATATGATTTTAATCCCTCCCAAACAAGCTCCTATTCTTTTCGGAAGTTTTGATTTCTGCTACAATATAACAAACTGTGGATTTTAATCGTTAAAAGCTTTACAGTAATCAACATACAATGAAAATTTACGTCTCTCTTAACAATGTTGACATTTTAAGTTAGAAATCCAACACTCAATAAGGTGTAGGGTATGTGAAGGAGCTAAGTTCAAAATTTAACGTTACCCATTTGATAAAATTGAGCATGTACCAATGGTTTGATGAATAATAATAATAATGAATATGTAGTACAATTTTGCCTAAAAAGTGACACTATGGTCCAACTTTAAATTTTGCCTTCGATAGAAATATAAAATGTTCCACTCCGAAGGGAAAAAAAAAAAGACCTTTATATACCATTCAAAAATGTGGAAAATCATTCGCGCAATCAAAATTTATTAACAAATTACTTTTGACCACTTTCGAGGAGTAAATTGAGTTTTGACATGGTCATTAAATTTGCCTTGTCGAAAGATGACAAGGCACCATCAATATGAAAGTTTTCTTATTTAGCAATGATTTAGGTCAAAATTACTAAAGGAAAAATATTAAAGAAAATTAAAAGGCTAAAATATCTTTCCTTTTAACACTTTTTTTTTCTTTTTCTAGATTATTTCATTTTTAATAAATTAGTGGACTGATAGGCCCAACACAATCCATAATGGGCCTGAACATGGGCCCAATTTTACGAGTCCCAACGTGTGTAAGATGTTCTATATAGGGTCCGTGACGTCCGTCTCTCTCTATCTCTATCTCTCTCTCCTAATTTCCTTGATTCCAGTGCTGCGGCATACATATTGGACACAAACCCTGCAAATTGAAGAAGTTTCAGCTTAATTTCAGCTCACGGACTCTAGTATTAATCCGTGTTGTTACAGGTAATGAATTTTTCTTTTTTTTTTTTTTGGAAAGAAAGAACAATTCATTGTGAAATTAATTGAAGATTTCGCTTATATCTTGCATTTTGCTCTCTTAGTTTGTAACATTTTAATCGAATTTTTATGGATTTTAATCATTTATTCATATGTTCGGTTCTTAAGGTCAACTATAGATATGGGGATTTCTTACGCTTAGGGTTTCTGGTAAGTTTAGAAAATTGTCGTGTTTCCCATAGACTTTATTTTGTGTATTCCTCAATTGTTATCCTTATTTTGAAAAAAAAAAAACTAATCGTGAAATTAATTAATATTTTGCACAAATCTTGCATTATACATGTGGGGAAGTTTAAGTTTTGCCAGTCAATTTGCAATCTTTTACTCGAATTCTTATGGGTTTTCAATTATTTATTTATCCGTTGGCTTCTTATGAGAGATTTTTCAATTTAGCCTGGTTGATTAAGCCTTTTGAATTTTTTATTGAAAATTCTATATTACGCTTAATGATATGAAATTTTATAAATTGCATAATATATCCTCCAAATGTTTAAACATTAGTCTTTATCTTATGTTTCTTCTATTTCTAATTATAATATATAGTTCTATTCTATGATCTAACAAATTAGAGT